CCGACCTCCTGCCTCCTGGAGGTGACAGTGGCCTGGAAAGGGGACCATCCTGCTACCAGCCTGGTATGCCAGGGAGGAGGCCCTCAGGCCAGGCAGCAGGAGGCTAATGGGACCGTAGCCTGTCACCGGACTACCTTGGCCTCGGTCACTTCATCTGTGAAGCAGGACAATCATGCCCTATATATCTTGTGGGTTTGCCGTGAGGAGCAAATGAGAGTGTAGAAGAGAAAGGGCTCCCACCACTGCTGTGACAGGAAGGGAAGGGAGGAAAACTCATGGTGGTTGTGCTCCTCCGTCGTTCCTTCCCTCCTCATCCACTTAACAAATCTCTCTCGGCAGTGCCAGACACAGTTTTAGGCACTGGGGACACCATGGTGAACACAGCAAAGACCCTGCCCCAGGGAGCTCACATTCTGGTGGAGAAGGTGGTCAATGACAATTAAATATATAACCTCTGACGTGGTCTGTTTCATCAGGACAAAGCTGTGTAAAGGCTCAGGGAACAGTGGGGGAGGGCAGGTGCGTGGGTTGCCTCTCTGGTCCCTACTCAAGTCGACACTTCAGGGCACAGGCCTTGGACCTTTTCCCAGGCTGTACTCACTCCCTGAGCCATCTTACCCAGTCCCTTGGCTTCAGATACCGTCTGCATACTGAACACCGGCTCCCATATTTCTCTGACGCTGTGACTTCTCCTGAGAATGCTTTTGGAAGTGGAATAATTTTCCTAAGTCACACAGCCTTGCTAGGGCGCGAAAGTGAACACAGGACTCTGGCTCCCTGGCTGTCACATCCCCCATGCAGACCCTCCCTGGCCCTGACGGACAGGCCCTCCTAAGGCAGAAGGCTGGCTGGGATGAACCTTGGACAAGCCCGGATGAAGCACACTGGGGCGGCTTGCCCACCTCCCTGGGCCAGGCCGGGAGCGACTCAGGCCTTGGCTGCAGACTTACACTAGGAGTGGAGCTTGGCTGTTTGCCGCCCCTGCCGGGCGTGGGTCCCTGTAGGGGGTGGGTGGAGTTCCATTCTGGGCCTGGCTCCCCGGGACCTGGGGAAGGACAGGTGTGGGGCTTCTACTTCCTGGGCCCCAGGTTACCCGCAACCATGAGTTCAGGAGAGCCTTCGAGTCAGCCTCCGAGAGGTCTAACGGGCTCAGCAAGTTGATTCACTTCCTTTTTCAGAAGCTAGTGGGGAGTTATCTATCTGTCTTTCCCTGCCAATGCTCAGCAGCTGGGGTTCAGAGAGGTGGTGTGGTCTCTTGAAGGTCACAGAGTCAGCTCTGGGGCAGAGCCAACAGACCTCTCCCCGTGCTGTCTGGGTCACGTTTCCTCTGCTGAAATATCCTCCGGGCTATGCGGGTCTCTTGAACCTGGGGCACACATGGCTGAATTTCTCAGCCTCCTTGGCTCTTAGCCCTGCAAGCCTTAATTGGCATTTTTGGCTCTTAGGAAGTTGGTTCCTAATTCTGGCCTCTCTACGTACTGGCTGTGTGACTTTGGGCAAGTTACTGAACTTCTCTGAACCGGTTCCCACAGCCGTAAAATGGAGACAACACCTATCTCATGGTGTTGTAATAAAGATGAAACGCGAAAGCGCCTGGCACAAGCTTGTAAATCTGTCGCCTGCTTGCCTTAATGCTTTTGCGTGTTTTCTACTGCTTGTCATTTGAGCAGTGCTGGTCGCAGAGGGCAGCCTGGCGTGGATACCTCTAACCCTGAGGACAGTCCTCCCTGCGCCTAGCATCCCTAGCCACATCTCAGCCCTGGCCTCAGACTCCGCCCTTGAGCTTAGCGAGGGGGCGAGGGGAGGAGTCCTCTGAGAATTGGGGTCCTCACAGCCCCGCCTGGTGCTAATTATAGGCAGCCTGGCTTTTGGGAGTCCCTGAGTCCTTGCAGAGTCCTATAGAAATGGTATTGCAGTAAATCGAATTCTGTTTCCCATTACTGTTTCTGAGCCGCTTTCTCATCCACAGAACCGCCCTTTGATGGAAAAGTCTAGGCTTTGCCTTTACTCACTGTGTGTCCGTGGGCAACTCCCTCCCAGTCTTGGATCTCAGTCTCTTCATCTGTGCTGTGGGGTGGGGTTTGGGGCTGGGTTTTCACTTGTCATGACCCACACACAAAAGGAGATTTGGAGATGTTTCGAGGCTTTCACCTGGGGTGAACAGAAGAGGCTGCGTGAGCTGTGGTGTCTGTCCCCAGCTGCCCAGGCCAGCCAGGCCCTTCCCTAGGCTGCGAGGATCAGTATTTTCTTCCGGAGGGCTGAAGGAATCCTAGGGAGTAACATCCAGATGCTGGGGAAGACGCTCCTAGGATCCCCCCACCCCGGGGGGGCAGCGTGGCCAGTTTACCCACTGCCCCTGACTCCTCACCAGCCTCTGGGCAGTGACAACGAGAATGCAGCCAGCCACGTTCCAGGCACTGTGCTGAGGATTATCGTGTTTCAGTCCCATTGAAGCCCCATGAGGGTACGCACAGCTGAGGGCGCTGGCCACAGAGAGGAGAGGAGACTTGTCCCGGGTCCCACAGCTGGGGAGTGGCAGAACAGAATTGCAGCCTGGGTCTGAACCGGCACACACTCACTGTGCTGTTCAGCACTCAGGCCAAGAGCCCAAAGGACCTGTCCAGAGGGCTGTTAATGGGGAAAATATAGGCCCCGCCATCTTCCTTTTTCCTCCCCTGGGGGCGGGCCAGGTTCTGGCATCTTTCTGCAAGGGATTGGCTTTGACAAAGTGAGAGCCAGGTTCCTCCATTTCTCTTACTGAAGTATCAGACAGGCAGGAAGATGGTGGCTTTACTCCAGAGGGCCATACCACAAGTCACTGACCACTGTGTGTGATGACACCATGGCCACAGACAACAGCCCAGGGCACTGGCTTCTGGGGCCTCCTGGGCCTGAGGTCTGTGTTAGAGGCCACAGGCAGGTCCCCAGAGCCCAGGACAAAGGCAGCTGTCAGGGTGGAGCCCCATGTTGGAGGGCACTTTGGCAGAGCCAGAGCACCATCCTCCAACCTTCTGATATATGGGGGTTGGCGGAAGGTGTGGGGGGCTGGGGTGTCTAAAGCCAGCTGTGAGAAGCTGTGTTATACTTGGCTGTCTTCCTGTGTTCATTCTCATAGCGAGATTCTTGGACTGATCATTTGAGGTCACCCCTCTGTGTCTCCTTGTCAAATGGCTTTGGCCTCTCTGGGCTCTGACTGGCTCATCTGGGAAGAGATGGGTAGAGGGAGTTGGGTGATAAATCATGCTTCACTCAGTCAACAGAATACTACACGGGCACTAAAAATGATGAAGTAGATCTATATGTTCTGACATGGGAAGATGGCCACAATATATTATTAAGTGGAAAAAACTGGCTGCATAGTAGAATTTATGGTTTGATCACATTTAACACATTAACTGCCATGTGAGTTGTATTTAACTCATGCTAGTTTTGAGCCCAGGGCTTTGCGAAGCAAAACCTGGGCAAAACCCTGCAGTTGGTTCATGAAAATCTTACTGGTTGATGTTCTTATTGTTGCAGTTAATATTGGCAAGTTAATTCTAAAAATGTGGATTAAATGAATAGTAATCAATATATTTTGTTTTTCATTAAATTAGAAAGGATTGTTTGGTTTTTGAAGTTTTTATTCTATTTTCATAATAAAACACTGTGGCCCCAAGGGAAACATTTTTTTTCTAGGGTGGCAGTCAATGTGTTAAACAAAATAAATTCATACATATGGTAGCATATGCAAAGAAAAAATATCTAGATGGAGACACAGTAGAGTGTGAACATGTTTTCTCAGGGGTGGGAGGAAGATCACATTGATTTGCTCACAGGAACGTTTCCATATCAGCTGTTAAAACTGTGACCCTGAGTCTTAGAAGAGGGAAGACAAGTTTGCACCTGTTTCATCAAACTTAAGAATATCCTTTGATGGAACAGTCCCTTAAAATAAAGCTGCTACTTTTCTACAATTAACAAAATTACTTTAAATCTTGGAGTAAGCATGAGAAAGTCAGAACTGGATGTTTTTAGACACATTCCACTCAGTTGTCTGCACTAACAGAAATGCAACCTTGGCAGTGATTTATGTGCCTGGTTCTGAGTGGGCCGGGTGGTTTTCTGTTGCAGATGTAAGTCCCTAATTGTGCTTGATTTTCAATCTCGTCTACACACGTCTCAGGCACGCTGTGCTGACACTGGGGCCTGGGGAACTGGGTTTGGTGGGGATAAGAACAGAACTTACGATGTACATGGTTTCTCAAGACATCTTTGAGAAGAAACTTCTAGGGTGTTTTTTTTTAATGTGTAAGGACACTGATTGTTCCATAAAAACAAATGTGTTTCTGATATAAATAAAACATGTCAGCCTGCCATTGGGGTGAGGACGATGAAGTCCAGGGATTGACAGTGGCCTGGAGTTCCTCGGCTTCTCTCTGTTGAGCTGGCTGGGGCTTCTCAGGGGAGTGGACTGAGCTTTAGGGCCTGACATGAGTTCTCCAAGAGTGGGAACTGGGCTTCCCCTACCAGCTTGAGGCTCCCGAAGGCTGGAAACCACGTTTCTTCTCTCAGGTTGGAAGCTCCTTGTGGCATTGGAGAGTCCTTTTTCTCAGCACTGCTGTCCCCCGGATTCAGTGCGCTCTGCAGAAGGTGGATGCCCTGGTAGTGGGACCTCAATGTCAGGCAGTGATGTAGGAAGACGAGGGAATCAGGGACCGTATGGGACTGGAGACCAGAGAGACAGGACATCCGTACAGAGCCCCTCCTGCCCCAATCAGGTCTTCAGGGGTCCTTGGCAGTATATGTGGAGACCAGGGGCTCAGGGGCCGTACGTGCTCACGCGTTAGTGTGGAACCGTGGCTGCTTAGTTGCAGCTGGAGAGAAAGCAGAAAGAAGCAGGTCTCCTGGGCGTGGTAGGGGTCGCCCCTCCCTGCCCTCATTTCTTAATAACCCTTGGCTGCCACCCAGAGCGCATGTTTATTTGCCCCCTACCCTGACTCTGTCTTTCTGGGTTTCAGGTGGGACCGTCCCTGGAGCGGGCGCCAGGATGCCCCGGGCGTGTGGGTGACCGGCTGTCTGCCCAGGCCCGCATGCCGCCGCCCCGCGAGGACTGCTCCCCGAGGGCCGCCTGGGGCCCCGCGCCCCGTGTGTCCTGACAAGCAGCCCCCAGCAGCCCGTTGCCACCCGGCCGCCCTAGGGGCGGAGGCGCCGCAGGAGTGAGCTTCCCGGGCCCGCGGAGCAAGCAAGCGGCCGACGGTGGAGGGACCCTGGGGAACGGGCTTCGCGGCTGGCTGGAAACATTTTCCCCAAGCGGTTCCGCAAAATGACCAGCCTGTTCCGTCGGAGCAGCAGCGGCAGCGGCGGGGGCGGCACCGGCGGGGCGCGCGGGCCCGGGGCCGGAGGCGGCGCGGCCGCAGCCCCGCAGGAGCTCAACAACAGCCGGCCGGCCCGCCAGGTGCGCCGCCTCGAGTTCAACCAGGCCATGGACGACTTCAAGACCATGTTCCCCAACATGGATTACGACATCATCGAGTGCGTGCTGCGCGCCAACAGCGGCGCCGTGGACGCCACCATCGACCAGCTGCTGCAGATGAACCTGGAGGGGGGTGGCGGCAGCGTCTACGAGGACAGCTCGGACTCAGAGGACAGCATCCCCCCGGAGGTAGGGGCAAGGCCCGATAATTCACCACCAGCTCCAACCACCGTTTGGACCTCTTAGAGAAGCGGTCCCCGGCCTTTTTGGCTCTAGGGACTGGTTTCATGGAAGACAATTTTTCCACAAACGCGGGTGGCGTAGGGTGCGGGAGGAGCTCAGGCGGCGATGCCGGCTATGGGTAAATACGCTGCTCGCTGCCGCTTACCTCCTGCTGTGCAGCCCCGGGTTCCTAAGTTCCATGGAAGACAATTTTTCCACGGACCAGGTGTTGGGAGTGGGGGTGGCGGAGCTCTGCAGCCCAGTCCCTAACAGGCCACAGACCTATACGGTCGGCAGCCTGGGGGTTGGGGACCGCAGTCTTAGAGGACCTGGGTTAATAACCCCTGTCTGGGTTCTAACTAGCAAGCAGCCTTACTTCCCCTGGGGAAACGTACCACCAGTCAGCTGCCTTTTATGGGCAGAAATCATGCAGTCATTCAACAAACCCTGAACACCTACTCAGAGGTGTGCCAGGTATGGTACCTCTGCGTCAGGGGTCGTCAGAATCAAGGTGCTTGTTAAAAATGCAGATGCCTGGGCCCCACCCCAACATACTGAATCCTACTTCCAGGCCTGGAGTCCTCTAGTGTGTATTTTTAAAGAAAGTCTCTTGAACCTCTGAGGGTCCACCTTGGCCAAGTCAGACAATGTGTCTGTCCTCCCGGAGCTCCCAGTCCAGTGTGGACTAGAGGCAAGAGTCAGGCACTGACATCCCGGAGTGGTAAGTGCTGCGATGGGAGACCTGGAAGCAGCAGAGAGGAGGGGTGGCTTCCCCCAGGAAGGGATGAGACCCGAAGGAAGAGTGGAGCCAGGGAAAGGGTGTGCAGGCACGGGGAACAGCTCATGCAAAGGCTCGGAGGTGAAATGGCGCAGGCCTGGTTAGGGGACTGTCAGGGTCCCAGAGTGAGAGGAGACCAGCGAGGATGGTGAGGCCCTGTCGCTGAGAAAAAGACTGGGGCTGTATCCGGAGAGCACGGGGAGCCACGGAAGTGGGTGAAAGTTCAGACTTGCCAGTTAAATCCCTCTGACCACGGAGTGATGGAGGTGGTAGTGAGCCATCCCCCAGCGGTTCTGCTTTCACTGCTGTGTCTCTCCAGGGAGGTGGCTGGGGAGAGGGGACTGCCACACTGCCACACCGAATCAAGGCCCACCTGCTGGTCCTTCCCAGCCTCACCCAAGAGTTCAGTGCACAACTGGCCCCCCAGTTTCCGCAGAGCCTGCAGTGCTCAGCAAGGCACACAGAGTCTGTCAGTGAGAGGGTTGCTGCCTGCAGGGGCATCTGTGACATGCAGCCATGGACAAGACAAGGACCCAGCAGATGAACCTGTGCCAGGCACCATCTTAAGAGCTTCAGATGTATCATCTCTTCTAATCCCCACAAACTTTGTGATGTGGTGTTATTATTACCCTCGTTCACAGTGAGAAAAGCTAGACCCAGATAGGGCCTCAGAGCCCTTCTCAACACAGCCCTGCAGACAGTCACTCTGCATTAATCAGTCACTCTGCAGGGCGAGGCCTCCTTGCTCTCCCTCCCTTAGTGGCTGCTGCTGGGACTTCTGTCTCCCGGTGGAGGGGAAGCCCTGTGGGCAAAGTCATCTGGCTCATCCCTGTGTCACCTGCAACACCCAGGACACTCCGGGCACATGGGAGGCACTCAGGGAATGTCGAATGAATAAATGCCGCCGCTGTCTTTGCGCAGCAGACTATTGTCTCTCTCCCTTGGTCTGCCTGAATTAGCCAGTGGAAGGAGTATAGGAAAACCCAGATCCTCTTTGTAGGAAGGAGGGATGAGAGAGAGGGAGAGAGTGTGTATGTGTTTGCAGATACAGTTGACCCTTTGAACAATGAGGCGGTTAAGGGCACTGACCCTCCTCGCAGCCCAAAATCTGCATATAACTTTTGACTCCCTAAAAACTTAACTACTAATAGCCTCCTGTTGGCCAGAAGCCATACAGTTGATTAACACCTAGTTTGTATGTTATATGTATTAAATACTGTATTATTACAATAAAGTAAGCTGAAAGAAAGAAAATGTTATTAAGAAAACCGTAAGGGAGGGAAAACATATTTACTAGTCATTAAGTGGAAGTGGATCCTCATAAAGGTCTTCATCCTCAGCGTCTGCACGTTGAGTAGGCTGAGGAGGAGGAGGAGGAGGAGGAAGAGGGGTTGGCCTTGCTGTGTTGGGGTGGCAGAGGCAGAAGAAAACCCACGTGTCAGTGGACCCGTGTAGTTCAAACCCATGTTGTTCGAGGGTCAACTGTACATCCTGCAGGTGTGAGCTGGAAAGAAGATTCTCTGCGAGCGCTGGCCCTTTCTACATCTCATTTGTTCTGACAGTCTGGCAGGTAGGATAATATTTCCTCCTTCGTCCACGGCCCCCACAGCACTGAGCCCCTGCAAGCCTTCACCGCCGCCTAGGTAGGCCTGCACCGTGTGTGCGCGTCTGCTTTTCTAAGAATCTTGCTTTCCAAATTGAGCCTCTTCTCGCACCCCTCCCCTCCCTTGGCGGTTTCCCCAACCCCCCACCTTTGGAGCTCTGCCTGGGCGCATTGGCAGGCAGTGCCTGAGCCAGCGGAAAGTGCTTCGGAAAATTTATGAGCAGCAGCTGGAAGGACAATAACCGCTGACTGGAGAAAGCCCCCTGTCCGGGGCTGATGGATGGTGGGCTGGCCTGAGGGGTATCCTTGCCACAGAGAAATACCTCCTGGCAGATAAATGGCCTAGACTCTGCCCTCTGGAGCACCTGGCAGGCACCCATCACCCACAATGAGTTAAGCCAGGAGGCTATAGAGCTGAAAACTTCAGCACCTTTAGAGCCAGAAGAACAAGCTCTTTGTGGCTGGTGGGGGTGGGAGGAGAGAGGCAGGGGAGGTAGCTGGGGTCACTCTCCCTGGGACTTGGGATCTGCCCTTTTGGAGCTTGCGTGGCCAGCCGCCTGCCTCCCCTTGTTCCCCAGTCCTCTCTTGGAGCCTCTGGCAGACGTCTGGTCTGGCTGCCCCAGGAGGCTGCCCCGAGGAGCAGGAGAGGGTCTCCTGGTGTGGCCAGGGGGGCCTGACCACCCTGAGTCGGGGGGTGGGGGTGGGGTGGCTGCTGCTGGCCGTGCTTAGCAGAAACCTCAGGCAGCTTCCTTCTGGAAATAGTTCCTACTAAGTTCTCCTCACCTCCTCACCCACTCCCTTGGGCCAGCCTCAGAGGCTGGCCACTGTTGGCCTCAAGGCCCCAGCCTGGAACTCTGGCCTTCAGAGCAAAGGGTCGGGGAAACAGGGTGTGTGGGCTGGGGGACAGCAGCAAGTTTTCTGTAGGCACCAGGTACTTGCTGAGCCACTGTCCTGTGCCAGGCACCAGAGATTGGCCAGTGAACAGGAGCAGAGCCTCCAATGTTCTCTCTTTTTTTTTCCTTTCTTGTGGAAATTTGGGATAAACAGAGCAGTGGCCCGCCAAGCAGCTACATTCTTTTTTTCCTGCAAAAGCATCTGTTTAAATACTTTCCGCCTCAAAGGAAAGAACGTTAGTGCATTCCAGGGCAGGAGGCCTCCTTGGGTTGGGCTGGCTATGTGTGCACAGAGCATTGCAGCGTGTGCGTGTGTGTGTGTGTGTGTGTGTGTGTGTGTGTGTGTGTGTAAGTACGCAAGTGCTTACATGGGCAGGCTCACCCACCCACCAGGGTGTCCCTGCGAGGCTCTGCGTGTGCTGGGCACGGCTGGCCTCAGAGCAGAGAGTGCCAGTGCAGCCAGGCCCAGCCCAGACTTGCAGAGGTGGAAGCAGAGGCAGCTTTAGCAGTGACTTCTGCAAACTCACTTGGGGTCTGGGGACTCGGGCCGATTCACAGCGTCTGAGCCCTTCCCATGTTCTTTGGTCTTGGAGGAGATGGGAACAGACCTATAGGAGGGAACAGGAGGCTAAGATGGAGGCCAGGTTGGGATGTGTGGCTGCCTCCTGCCCCAGACGCCTCTGTGCACCTCTGGGAAGGGTCCAGGTTGGTCCACGTAGCAGGAACCCCAGCCTTTGCCCAGCCTGTGACCTTTCCCTGCCCCTCTTCCTGGCTCCTGGCTGAAGAGAGGAGTCCAGGAGAAAGAGCGGCCATCCTGGGCACTGCCCTTACCACTATCTGCCCCAAGAGTGCAACCTGGTGTGTAGTCATTGCACCTGAAGGGGGACACCCTTGTAGTCCAAGTTGAAGACTCACTTCTAAGAAGTGTGTGGCTTTTGCCATGTGACTTAGCCTAGGCCTCAGTTTCCTCATTCATAAAAATGGGGGTAAGCGTCCATATCTTACTATGCCAGGTCGTTGGAGGTTAAGAGGAGATAACGTATGTGAAAGTACTTTGAGAGAGGGCATGATGATGTCATCATCAAAGACTAGCACACGCACAGGAGAGTATGTGAATCACAGTGTACAGCTCAGCGAAGTTTCCCAGCGTACAACAAACCACAGTGTCTGCACCAGATGGGGAAACGCGATCGGTGGCACCTGGAGCCCCCACGCGCCCCTTCCCATCCCTACCCGCCCCACAGAGGGCACCCTGCTCTGCCTCCACCGCTGTGTGTTTCTTTCGCCTGTTTCTGAACCTTACTTGGATGGGTTAATGCTGCTATGAACATTCTTTTGGGGACATGCACTTTCATGTCTGTCGAGTACGCTGGAATTGTGGGGTCAGAGCTAGCCAAGTGTTTAGCGTTAGTAGCGAAGGCCAAACAGTTTGCCGGAGTGCTGGTTGTATCAATTTACACTCCCACCAGCAAGGCACAGAGTTCCCTCCTTACACATCCTCGCCCACATTTGTGTTTGTCTGAATGTTATTTAAATTTGAGGAAGGATGATTAATATGTCTCTCTTTGTTGTCTCTGATTTAGATCTTGGAAAGGACTTTGGAACCTGATAGCTCCGACGAAGAGCCCCCGCCTGTGTACTCCCCACCAGCCTACCACATGCACATGTTTGACCGGCCTTACCCTCTGGCTCCCCCCACGCCACCTCCCCGGTGAGAATCCATCTTGTCCCAGAGCACAGGGTAGCAGGGAAGGGGACCAGGGGTTGCAGTTGTGTACAAACACAGCAGGAAGCTTGGCGGGACCCCTCAGTGTATTATTCCACCAAGAATAGGCTTCCACTGCAGCAAGAAACATTGTAGCTAGATACCAGAAGGAATTTTCAAAATGTACGAATTGCAAGAGCAAACATTTACTAAATTCCTACTCTAGGCTAGGTGGTCCGTAGGGGACACAGAGTAAAGTAAGGCTCAGTCTCTGTTTTCAGGAGCTTATAATCAAGGGAGGTGCCAGAGTAGGAATGACAAACACAAGGAATGTTTGCTGACACTTCCCATCCCAAGCCTATGGCAAACATTGCTAATCAATCACTGTGCTCCTTCCTGCTGAGTCAAGACAGAACTTCAGCATCCTCCTCAACACAGCACTCCCAGGCAGTCACCAGTGATTGAGGGATGGCTGTTTGCCATCCTCGGACTAGGGATGTGGGAATTTTTAAGCAATGGGACCAAGTCTCTTTTGGGGGGATAGTTTGATAACTAGAGGCAGGGGAGTAGACTCCAAGGTCCCTGGAAACTTCTTCCAGTTCAGAGACTATAATTTGGAAGCTTAAAATGAAGCTGGTTGCCAACAGGGTTCCATGGGTCTCTGAGATGCTTGTTTTTCTGGGCTCCATGTTTATGTCGGGGCTGCTGGGAGCCGAGGTGTCGCCTCTTTATCCTGGAACGGCTGTTCCTTAGAATGACTCAGGCCAGGGGTGGGAAGGGATGGGGTAGGTGATGGGACAGGGCACTTGCCCCAGTGGATCCCCCCTTCTGGGGGTCTTGGGAGCCCCCGAGCAGTGGTGGTGGAGAACTCTGTCATCCTACAGGTGTAGCTCCACTTCCTAAGCACCCTTAGGCGCCAGCAACTGAGCAGGTTCCTTACCTACACCATCACATTTAAAGCAGAGGTGGGCACTGTTGTCACCATCCCCATTGCACAGATGAGGAAACTGAGCCTCCAGAGGTCCCATAACTTCCCCAAGACTAAGAGCTGGAATTTGAATCCAGGTCATTGTGACTTCAAGGCTAATCACTCTTCACTGCTGTGTCCTGTCACCTCCCTAATGAGAAAAATCTCTGTAATTGCAGCTTAGGGAGCCAACAGAATCCTAGAAAGCTACTGGGAGGTGGGGGGGTGGTGTTTTGAGTCAGGAACAGGAACAGAGCCAGGGTCTTTATCCCAAGTGCTACCAGGAGACGGCAGGCTATACTGGGGTGGGTCTGGGTGAGACCCAGGTAGGACTTGCACCCTGGGTGGGTCACAGAGCCCAGGGCTAAAACATTTCCCTTTGACATTTTTTTTTAATATCCCAAGATGCTTTTGCAAAAAAGTTTAGTTTCTGTTAGGCAGAGTGGTTCTGCCTATTTTTCGGAAGGGAAAACTGAGGCTATAAGAGAGAGAATCCCTGTGTTGTGTGTGTGTGTGTGTGTGTGTTTGTATTCTTTATAGAGACAATGTCTCTGCCTCACTATGTTGCCCAGCACGGACTTGAACTTCTGGGCTCAAGTCATCCTCCCATCTCAGCCTCCCAAGTAGCTGGGTCTGCAGGTGCATGCCACCGTGCCCGGCTAAGAATCCCAACATAAACATGGCAAGGGTATCCTGGCCACATCCTCCCTCTTATTCTGGCTGGGTGTTCATCCTGAAGCAGGTAGGGTAGGGCGGGGGACAGGGGCAGTGCAGCCCAGCGATGGGAGCCCTACTTGGAGGGAAGGTGACCTCAGCACTAGACCAGGGCTCAGGAGGCCTTCTTCAGACTCTGTGGACTTGGGGCAGGTTACTGCCCTTGCCTGAGGTTCAGGGGCCTGGCTGAGGAAATGAAGGTGGGGCTGGGCTGGGAGCGCAGCCCTGAGAACTTGGGTCACTGAGTTCAACAGAAGCAGACTGCTCTCCTCACCCCCTTCCTGCGGCTGCCTAACTTCTGATTCTTCAGGTGCCTCTGCTCTGTCACCTTTGGCTCATTACTTAACGTCGCCGAGCTTCGTTTGCCTCCTCTGAAATGGGAATACTAATACTAATTTCCACCTCAGCACCGTTATGAGGATTGAGTGAGATGTTGCATGCCGAGCACTTAGCACGGTGCCACGTCTGGACAGACCTTTAACCCGTGGTTTACTGCTCCCTCCTGCTCCCGCTGCACGGGCTGGCCTTGGAGTTCGGCTCTAATGTTGGACATTGAGACCAGTGCCGAGGCTTCCCCCAGAGGCCAGTGTTCAGAAGAGACACATGTCCCTTTGCCCTAGGATGGCTCTGCTAGGTCCACGTGTACCCCAGGCCACCTCCAGGGCCTCGTCCAGTCTCTCCATCCAGGCCATTCATTTCCAGCATTTATCGAGTCACCTGAAATGTGCAGGGGCTGAACCGAGTGTGATGCAGAGATGAAGACAGCCCTGCCTCGTCCCCTCCACTCCCCTCAGGGAGATCAGTCTTAGGAAGCTGTGGACACGGGGGTGGGGAAGCCTGCCTGGAAGAACTGATGGCCAAGCTGTGACCTGAGGGCCACCTGGCATTAGTCTGGTAAGGGCAGAGGACAGGAAGGCATTCAGGCAAAGGAAACAGCACATGCCCGGCAGGGAAGAGGGGACCATTGGGGGAATTCCTCGAAGCATCTAACCACTGAGTGAGGCTGGAGGGGCAAGCAGACCACAAGGGGGGGTCAGGATTAGGCTGGAGAGTGACATGGCCAGATTAGTGTTTTAGGAATCTCCCTCTGGCTGCTAAGGGAGGTCAGAGTTGAGTAGGGCAGTGGTCTGGCATCCTTCTGCCACCTCCAGTCACTGGGGTGCCGGGAGCCTCCAGATGGGCAGAGTTTGGCAGCTTGAGTGTTGCCCTGTGGGGGCACAGAGAAGCAGGCCATCCCCAGGAAGCATGCTTGGAACGCCAGGATCCCTGGGCCCAGACTTTGCCTGACGATCTGTGTGCCCTGGGGACAGGACTTGACCCCTTGTGGACCTCCATGTCTAGTCTACCAAAAATCCTGCCTGAAGCCCTCTGAAATCCTTCTCTGTCAGGTCTGATGTTTGGTGGGTAAACTGGGGGTCTGATGGGGCCTGAAGTTCTAGTTTTGGGGTCTAGGGGTAGAGATTCACGCCGGAGATCTTCCCCAGCCTTCTCTGTCCTTCCCCTCCCCAAGGCTGTCTTTCCCTCCGTCTGTCTGAAAGACGTCTCAGAAACCCAGGGGAGCCCTCCGTACAGGCCGCCTGCTGTTTTTCCGTTGAAATTACAGCCTTGGAAGTTTTTTATTTGCCTCTCAGCTCATTTCTGACATTCCTTTCCAACCACAATGGAGTGCCTGGGCTGCCTGCGCTGGGAGCCGTCTGGCTCTTGCAGCTGTGGGCTGACCTCATCTCCACCGGTGCCAGGGCTGGGGGCGGGTCAGGGGACCGCGGGCCCAGCAGCCAGCGAAACTCAGCTGAGAGCAGGGGCCTCACCCCTCCTTAGGTGACTCAGTGGCTGGAGGGGTCCGAACGCAACTCCGGGGCTCTCCCTCTGCCGCTTCCCCGGGTGGCTCCAAGGTGTGGTTAAGTTGGGGGTGGGCACCCACGTCCCAGATGAAGACCCAGAGACCCCAGGAAGGGCAATGCCCCCGGGGAGGATTTCTCCCTGCTGTGGCTGGGGGTGGTCTGTGAGTCTCTGGGAGATGGGGCATCCTCTCCCCTGCCTCTCAGGCCCTTGGAGAAAAATGAAGCGTCCAGCAGTGACAGAGGGTGGCAGAGGGATGGAGAAAGAAATCTGGCCTAGGCCTGGGAGTCCCAGACCGTTCCTTCTCCCGTGTCTACAGCAGCAGGGTGGACGAGGCGTGCGGGAGTTCCCTTGGCTCCGGTCTGCAGTGCTGAGCTCCCACCATGCGCTGAGCAGCTGGTTATCCCGTCTGCTGCCGCCCCCGCCCCTTCCCCTCTCCCCCGCCCGGCCACCCGCCCAAAATAGAAAAGGAAAGGAAGTTATTTCCATAGTCAGCGGCAGCCCGGAAAAGCTCCCCTCCAGTGAGGGGGCGGGCGGGATTCCTGGAGCTGGAGACCAAATCAAAGCCAGGCCCAAGAGTGAGCACGGCCCCCACCGTGGGCCCTGAGCTGCCTCCTCCGTGTGTCATTTCCCTGATTCAGCAGAACACGTGTCCTGCGGTTGCCACGCTGCAGGCTAGCGAGGAGCTGTGGGGAGCTCCTGGCGGGGCTCCAGGCTGCCTTAGGGCGGCAGGACGGGAGCCTGGGGGTCAGGGAGGGCGTGCACCGCCCGCTCCTTCCCTCTCCACCAGGGGCCTAGCTGTTGACCTCTGCCACGCAGCTGGCCTAGGGAGAGCAGCTCCTGAGCAACCTCGGAACAAGATCCTTTCCGTGCTCATCTCTCCGTATGCCTTTCCAGAACACTGCTCAAGACACAGCCTCGTGAGGGGCTCTGAGCACTTTGGCAGGGAGGTAGCAGTTTCTGGATGAGGAAACTCGGCTCCGGAGGAACACGGTCTCACCCAGGATGGTCTCACCTGCTGGCTGGTGGCTGAGCCAGAACTGGAGCCCAGATCCACTTTACTCTAGGGATCCTGGCATCCGTCCCCATGTGCTCCCTCCCCAGCAAAGCAACGTACAGGTGCTCCATGCTGTCGGTGCCTGTGTATCTGTTCATTTGGGCCATACCTGTTACTCAGCAGCCGTGAGCTCTGCATCGTGCTAGGTGCTAGGGACACAGGAATGAAAGGGCAGGATCCCTGCTGTCCCTAGACATAACATCCACGTCTAACTCCACAACGTTCCACGTTAGCACCGTGAGCAGAGCTCTCTGGGTCTAGAGACCTGCGAGGGGGGTGGGTGATGGGAGGGCAGTGACTGTCGCTGCCGAGGCTGGGAGTTAGCTGAGCTGCTGGAGAAGTCTCCAGTGATGAGACAGGGTGATGGGCCTCTGCTCTGGAGGGAGTGGAGGCCACAGGAAGCTCTGAGCAGGGTCCACCTGCCTGAGGACCTGGTGTGGGGGTCCTCCTGCCCCAGGAGACCTGAGGTTGGGCTTGACTACGCCCTCCCACCCCACAGGATCGACGCGCTAGGCTCGGGACCTCCTCCGAGCCAGAGGCGCTATCGGAACTGGAACCCACCACTGCTGGGCAACCTTCCCGATGACTTTCTCCGCATCCTGCCCCAGCAGCTGGACAGCATACAGGTGACAGGGGCTGCCCCCACCTCCCACTCCCACCTGCATGTCCAGCAGCTCTCTTTGCCCACACAGTTTCACTTCCTGATTTGCGGCTGAACTACTTGTGTTGCCCTGGGTTTATAGGGAAGGAACGCTGAACTGAAAGCCTCACTTCCCGTCTGGGCCTGGAGGTTTCCTGTTCTGCCCAGGGAAGGTGGCAGCCTGGGGCAGTTCTCTCCTGCAGGGGCACCTCAGGCTGGAGGGAGGTGGGCATGGGGCAGCCAGTGGCAGAGGGCCAGGGTACCGCCTTCCCTCCCTTGGGAAGGGGCCAGTGCAGCCTCTCCCCAGACGTTGGCCTGCCCTGGGGGCCCCTGCAGCGGGGACAGGCTTGCCCTGCAGGCAACTGGTACAGGGAGGGTTGAGTTTGGGATCCACGTGGGGGCTGGTGAGCAGTTTGCAAATCCCTTTTCAGGACTATTCAGGGTGTAGATGAAGACACAAGGTGGTCCACAGTGGGGAAGGAAAATAGTTTTTATGTCCTTGCTGCTTCCCCAGCAGACAGGGCTGTTCTGTGGGATTTGGGTTGTCCCATTAGGAGGTGGGGCTAGAGGATCCTAGGAAAGGGCACGTGTACACCAGATGTACTTGGATGTCTGTGCAACAGGTGCCCTGTGAGTAGGCATTCAACATGCTCGCTCCCTCTTCAGGGTAACCCGGGGGGCCCCAAGCCTGTGAGCAGAGAAGGAGGCCCACCTGTCACAGCCGGGCCTGGGCCCGGAGACCAGGAGAGCCGCTGGAAGCAGTACCTGGAGGACGAGAGGATCGCGCTCTTCTTGCAGAACGAGGAGTTCATGAAGGAGCTGCAGCGCAACCGCGACTTCCTCCTTGCCCTGGAGAGAGGTGGGCTCTGGGTGGGGAGGGGTGGGGGTGGCGCTGGGCCCGCTTCTCCATGGCTACGGAAGGGAGTCAGTGCTAGCCTTGGCCTTGCAGTTCAGAAGAGCACTGAGCTGGAGGCCAAGGGTGCCAGGTGCTTTCTGTCTGACTGAGGCACAACTCCCACCAAGTTATCCCGTGGGAGCCCCAGAATTCTGCTCACAGGGACCTGGGTCACCAGCTACCCCTCCTCCCTTGAGACTCAGAGGAAAAGGGAGGTGCCCTCTTAGGCCCTCTCCTTCCCTTTGCACATCTGCTCTGTGCCAGCCATGGGCCCCTTGGCAAAGGGTGACAGGGACAATAGAGCACCGGCCACAGGCAGGCGTGATGTGTCTGGAGTCCCAGGAATACAGTGACTGGGTCCATGGGCGCCAGAGTGGGAAAGACTCCCTGAGAGGAGGACCTTAGAGCAGGGATCTCGAGTTTTTGGGCTATTTGAGTTTTCTTTGGGTGGAAGACCCTGCTCCCCAGCCTGGCTACCTTTTTCCTGCAGGGTGGGAGTGTGTTTGGGCTGGAGGAGGCGAAAGGCCATGGAGGTCTGTTTCGTGTGACGGTCACAGGGTGAGGGCTTGTGTGAGTGTGCAACTGATGGTGTGTTGGTGGGGAGGCGCGGGTCGTGCAGGGAGAACGCTGGGCTGAGATGGAGGAGGCCCAAGGCTGGCCCTGGTCCCACAGCAAAGGTGCCGGAGGTCTCAGGGCTTTCCTTTTAAATTAGAGGGTTTGGACTCTATGATCTCTCAGGGTCCTCCTAATTCTGACGTTCCAACATTCTGGGTGGTTGTCAGGCAGTAGTTTCTGTTATTGCTGGTTCTTTGAGAGCCAGTAGACGTCGTGTATATACACGTATTTGTGTGCCTGTGCGTGCTCATGTGTGATTCTGGGGGTTCGGCCTCCAACAACCTCCTGTGTCTCAGCCCAGCCTGCCCCTGGGAGCCCGGAGCTAACTTCCCTGACCCGAGAACATGGTCCTTTTCCAGATCGATTGAAATACGAATCCCAGAAATCCAAGTCCAGCAGTGTGGCTGTCGGAAACAACTTCAGCTTTCCCTCTCCTGTCCCAGGTAACCTTGCCTTCTGGGGAGAGGAGCTTGGAGGGTGTGGGGGGTCACACCCCAACTGTGCTTTGCATATTTGGAGTTTGGGGGTAGAGTGGGGAAATAGAGGGTGGGGGGCCTTGGCTTCCTCAGCAAGCTGGAGGGGCCGCTTCTGCCCCCACATCCACACCCATCATGGAGATGGCTGTTCCACTTAACAGCCCTGGGTCCTTACCAATCCAGCGGTTGCTGGGGTCTCTGAGCCCACAGCTGCGACTGGCCACCACAGGCTGGCTGAACTCCTAACCTGTGCTTGGAGTATAGGCTAGAAGGGCACCCTGCCCCTTGCAACATCCCGTGGTGGGGAGTGGACGCAGGAGGGACTCACAGACATATAGGGCTTGGTCTTTGCCTGGGGGAACTCTTGTAAGCAGATATGTCCAAGAAATAGGCAGAGCAGCCCAGCAAAGCCAAGGACATACTTGTTGATCATAGCAAATGCATGGAGAGAAGGAGGGCAGGATTAATCTGGGAGAGTTCATTCATTCATTCAGCAGTGGGGAATACCTGCCATCTGCTAGGCCCCACCCGAGGTGTTAGAGAAAGAGAAATTTCAAGCTTTGTGTACAAGGTGGTGAGAAGAAAGTATTGCCTCAAAAGAGGGCTGGGCCCCTCTGCTCAGGTGTCCTAATGGCCGGAGGAGGACCTGGGGTTGGGGGCAGCAGTGCTATGGGGAAGCACAGACCAGAGGGCTGAGCCGGAGCTGGGAACATGGGGCACAGGCCCAGGAGTCCCTGGTTCCACACGTGGTACCTGGACTCTGCACCTGTGTGCGAACAGCAGCCCCACCCCCTCCCCTACCAAGGCTGCCTCCCTCCCTCCCCCACAAAGGAAGACTCAGCAGCTTTCGCCTAGAGCAGACCTCACGTGGTGCCGTGGGGTGGGGCAGGGACAAGGGGGAGCTCAGCCCTTACAGAGTGTAGTGGAGGGCGCAGAGCAGTTCAGCTGACCCCAGCTGGATGGTAGAAAATCCCATGGAACTGATTCATAAGCAACAGGCTGGCAGCTTAAGCCCCACCAGATGCGCATCTGGGAGTTTTAACCAGAGCCTCTTGTCCTTGATCCTGAATTAACTGGAGACACCAGGGCTGCTGAGATGGATCAGAATGACTCAGAGGGGACTTAGCAGGCAAGGTGACTGGGGATTAGCTGCGTTGCAGGATGGAGAGCAGGGGCTTTAGCATGGGTGGTGCGAGACCCGAGTGGGTGCTCACTGAGCCTGGCGCCTGGGTGGCCCAAATGGGTTCTGACTCTAGGACTAGCCCCACTCTCATTCCTACTCGCTAAGTAAACAGAAACCCTATGTCTGGGAGGGAGGAATGGAGGAGCCTGACCCTGGAAGGAGAAGGGACTCGCCTCTGGTGAATGCCGGCTCTGTACGGTCACCCATCTGACTGTCACACGTGTGCCAATGAACGTTTAACAGCCTGCTCTTGAGTGCACAGGAAGCCCAGCTCGCAGCACCTGGCGACCTCCATGGTGGAAATACTCCCACCACGGCTGCTTTCAAGCTACCAACATGACTTCTGGAACCGTAGAGTTAGTCAGAGAAGCGGGCAGTTGGGACCCCCTGGCTCTCCACGCACACGGCAGACCATGAGACGGTTCCCATTTTTACAAAGGAGGAAACTGAGGCCCACGGAGCGGAAGAAGTGCTCCCAGAACCCCGCGTGTCCTTGTTTCAAACTCCCCCTTGGCCAGGGAAGAAGCCGGTTCTTTGCGCCCTTCCTCAGACTGGCGGCCGCTCTGCTCTCTGGCCGGCCCTCACCAGTGTCTCCTCCTTCCAGGAACTGGTGACGCCAACCCCGCTGTGTCTGAAGATGCCTTATTCAGGGACAAGCTGAAACACATGGGAAAGTGTGAGTCCAGCCCACGCCCCCCTTCCCTCTCCCATTCTTCTGAGCCCTGTGGGCTCACGGGAGGTGGGGACCCACCCAGAGTGTTTAGTGGGCCGACTCTTGGTGAACCGAAGTGACATTTTAATCGCAGGCTGGCTTCCTCAGCCTTCCTGCCTCACTTCCCTCTGCAGCTGAGTCTGGATACAAATTAAGTTTTAAATCCTCTTGAGCCAGCTGTCTGCAGAAAAATAATGCGCCGACTGGAACACTCACGTTCTCTGTGCGCAGACGCCCTCGCTAAGCCGCGCTCTGTGAGGGCGGAAGGCCTTCAGCGGGGGGACCTCTTTCCACAAAGTCCTGCCAGCCCAGAATGCCCCTTTTCCCTCCCCACCATGCAGCCCCACAACCACGCGTGCACGAGGCTGCCCTCCTTTCAGGCTCCGTTGCAGGGAAAATCTCAGATTAGTCACGCAGATCCCAGAACCAACTCTGGAGGTGGCTAGGGGAGGGGCAAGGCAGTGGCAGTGGGAAAGAAAGCCAAGATGCGACGCAGTCTGTCGCAGCTGGGGAAGCAATACCCGGATCTTGGGCTGCCGGCCGTCCCTAGGTCTGGCTCGTGGTGGCCTGTGCTGCCCCTGCAGGCCGACCTGGAATGGCAGCCTGGCTCCCCGGGTGGCATCCTGGGTCTGTGATTCCTGTCACCTCCCCCTCTCCAGGCTCCCATCCTGGTCTTCCCCCTTCCCCTACCTGGGGTGGGGGGGCTGGTCCTCCCGGGCCTCCCTATACCTGAGGGGAGGCCATCTGGTGTTCTGGCTGCCGAGAGAATGACTCACAGGTCTCTCTGCCCCCAGCCACCCGGAGGAAGCTGTTTGAACTCGCCCGAGCCTTCTCTGAGAAGACCAAAATGAGGAAGTCAAAGAGGAAACACTTGTTGAAACATCAGTCGTATCCTTTCCAGCCTGGCACTGGGTTGGGGAGGTGGAAACCAAGGGTCACTGAGCAAAAACCCCCACTGGAATCCCTGCGGCTGTGACCTCCTCCAGGAGTGGTGGCCTCCCCTGCCTCCCATGAGCCAGGCCACCAACGCACTGCCCATCTCCTGGTGCCGACGCAGAACCAGGCCTAGGGTGCGGGGCTACAGCTCCTGTCGTCCTTCTGCAGGCTCAGAAGTTGTCCTACAAACTTCTTGCTTTTTTGGTCGGGGGTAATCTGCATCTTGGGAGAAAAATTGGTTCTTCCCTCAAAAGCAGCAAATCTGTCTCTGATTTCTCTAGCTGAACTGGTGCACGGATCCCCCATTGCAAGCACGCTGGCCTTGCCTTCTCATGTTCAGTTCCTCCAGCAGAAATAAGGTTTTCCACGTTTTCGCCTGAACTCCCATCCGGGCTTGTCACCCAGGGCCCAGGATATTAGAAGCTTAACAACCAAAGGGGAGTGGGGAGAGAGTCCCTTCTGTCCCCAGAGATGGGAGTGGGTGGGAGTGTCAGGGCCTGGCTGCAAGGCTGACAGCAAGAAGGAGCTAGCAGAGGCAGTACTGGGGGTCAGGCGGGTGTGGTGGTTGCCTCCTGGGCTTCGAGGGTGGGACAGAGAACTGGGAGAACTAGGGCAGTGCCTACCCACCCTTGGGACAGTTTTCCTGAACGGCCCGCCAGGCTAGGGGCTGCCGCGTCCACAGCCAATCTCCTGGACGATGTGGAGGGCCACGCTTGTGGTGAGACAGGAGGGGAATCTTAAGCTCCAACTTGCCTATGACTGGTGACTCTCCCAGAGGAGGTCCCGGGTGTTTCATGGGTGGACCCAACCTGTCAGGGAGGGAGCACCCATCCTGGGGACATGTCGAGGGTTGGTGGGCAGGTGACCCAAAGAAACGGATCTTCCCCACTTGGTCCACATTGCTTCTCCCTTCCTGCAACCCCTGAAAGGGGGTCCTAGTCCCACCTCCACCTAAATCTCTACGTGCGACACAAAGTGCCAGGTACCGTCTCTGGGGTATTCTCTGGGGTGTGAGGGGGCAGACAGGCTTAACCACATGGAGGGGCGTCAACTTGGGAACCAAGCACTGGGCAGGACTTCCATCTTCGAAGTCTCACTCCCCACGCTCTGGCAGTCTGTGGGCTTTTACTGTCACCCAGTCCCTTCCGAAGGCCTTGTGAGCCACAAGACCCTGCCAGGCTAACAACTGAACCCCAATCCCCGTGCCACACTGCAAGAGGGGCCCTCGGGGGTCGGGAGACATCTAGAAACAAGGACAAGAAGGGGCTTGGAGGTTATCTAGATAGTCCAACTTCCCTGTCCCATTTACAGATGAGGAAACTGAGCCCCAAAGAGGAGGGAAGAACTTGTCCAATGTCTCAGAGCTCAGTGATGGAGCCAGGCCAGCACCCGGGGGTCCCACTGCCTCTCTCACCAGATCCATGCATCTCCCACCTGGGGTGCGGCATGTGTCCCGAATGAAGGGGGCAGAGAGAGTCTGAGGGACCTGCCTGAGCAAGGCCCTGCAGGGCGCAGGGTGAGGCAGCTTCCCTCTGCTTTTCAGATGAAGACTTCCGGGGAAGGCGGCAGGAGACCCCCAAGGTGGAGGAAGCCCTGCGAGAAGGACAGTAAGAGGTAAGGCCTGGAGCCATAGCTGCCCCGGGACTGGCCAAGGCCAGGCCCTGTCACCTCCATACCCGTGTCTTCTCAGGTGTCCAGAGGTGCTGGGCTGAAACAGCTGGGTAGCACAGGTCTTGGGTCTCCTCCCTCATAGTCGTGGCAGGGACACAGGTTTCTACATGGCAACAAGTCCTCTGTATGTCTTCTGTTCATTCATTCATTTGACGAAAGATAAACCATATCTGCCTGTGACAGGTGCTGAGAACAGGAAAACAAAAATTAGCTTTGACCTTGAATAGTTAACAGCCCAGTTGAGAAGATAGTCCAGGACACACGTGGCACAGTGAGAGGACAATTTAAGAAAAACAGAGGTGGCCTCAATCCAGCCATGCACACACACAACTCTCTCGAGCCCCCTGCTTGGGTTGGGTGGCCTGGGACCTGCCACAGCCAGAGGAGGAGGGATGAGGAGACAGGTCCTCCAGGGAGCTCTGTTTCTGGCTGGAGCCCTGGACCCTGGGGCTGTTTTTCCTCCTCTCTCCCCCTGCACCCCTCGAGGGGAGAAACAGAATGCTAGGGCCTCCTGCAGGACTTGTCGCACTTGTCCCTCTTCCAGCCCCCTCCCCCTATCAGGAGGCAGCCTGCCCACCCTTCCCCAGCTGCTGGTCTGGTCCCAGGGGGCAGCATCCACAAGGCTTTCTTGGGCTGACAGTGTGGCAGGTGTGGTCCCCTTTCAAACCCTCAGGAAAGTCATGTGGAGGCGACATAAACCAGGAAACACAAGCACCCCTCCACCTGGGCAGCCGGCCCTCACTCCCCTGCGGCTGCCTCCCTGCCACAGCCCTCTCCAGGCACTTCCAGCCCCTTCCATCCTCCTCAGGCTTTGCCCACACACAGAGCTGCACCCCACCCCCCACTTCGCTGGGGAGCCTGCCAGGGAATCGCCTGCGCCCCCACTCCATGTTGCTGCCATCTCCCACCCCCCTTGTCCTTCCCACTGGTCCCTGGGGAAAACAGGTCCTGTCCAAAGCCACCTGTGCTGGAACCTGGCTCATGATTTATCCTCTCATAGAACTTGCAGCTTTCCCCTCAAGTTTACATTCTCCTCCTCCCCCCCTTAAAAACCAGGGGTCCCTAGTATCTTCCTCGGCATGCTCCTTCATCTACTGCAGGCTGGCAGCCCTTGCCACCACCCTGATTGGCTCAAGGAGGTCACCTACCAGCTCCAGGGCCCCATGCTAGTCTGCACTCTCCAGGTGCTCTTCCCACTGATGCCCTCCCTCCACTCCTGTGAGCCGGGAAGCCTGTTGCTCCTCTCCCTTCCTAAGTACTGGCTCTGCCTGTTGCTCTGCCCTTGACCCTCTTCCAGTCTCCTCACTCCCCACTCTCTGGCAGCGCCACCGCCCCCTTTTATAGCACCAGCAACACTTCTGTGCAGTTGGCTCCACAATCTGAATCTCCATCACAGTTATTTCCAGATCTGCTCCGTGTCCCCAGCTGCACCCACAATTGTCCTTTCAGCCTTGGATGTCAACTCACCGAGAGCCAGACAGTGTCTGCTCCTGACTGCCCTTTCGTTTCTCCTATTCCTCCCATCGCCTAATAGCCCTAGTCTCTTCGCTGCCCCTTCTCTGCTTCCCCACCACCAGAGCACCACTTAGTTCCCTTTCTCCCTGCTCTTTGAACGGGTCTTCTGGGTGAAGTCGTACGAACTCCTCAGCCTGGTGTCTGGGCCTACCAAGTTCTGGCCCCAGTTTACTTTTCTGCCCCTATAGGTCCCATGCTAGCTCCTCTGAGCTCCCAGTCTCGGAACGGGCCAGGCCCCCGCCCCTACAGCTGCTTCTCCCCGGAATTCCATGCCCCCACTCCAACTCCAGCTGCCAGAGTCCTTGCAGCTCGGCAAGCTGGAGCATCTCTAGGAGTTTGGATGAGGGAGATGACACAGGCAGAGTTCCAAGGCTGATCCAGATGCTCAGGAGAAAGAAGTGTCCTGTCTTTGGTAGCTTCTGCCCAAAACTGTCTCTCCAAAAGCCAATGACCAGGAAAGACCACTGGGCTCCTCTGAAAAAGACTTCTCCCATCCCTTTCCCTGCCAGGTGACAGCAGCTCCTCCTCTCCGGAGGTGATGTGACCCCGTGGGGACAGCCAGAGTGCAACACTGGCCCCCAGCTGAAGGGCCCAGCTGCAGCCAGAGATGGTGCTTGACAACCGAGGCCTAGTGGTCTTCCGGCCACAGTCCAGCCCAGCCACTGCCATTTTCCTTGGGACTTAGAACTTCGGAGTTGCCATCCTGCCATCAGAGGAAGGACCTGGGGCTAGAGGCACCAGCCAATCAGAGCCCCTTTTGTAGCCAGGCTTTTCTATGGGCAAGGAGTGGAAATGCGGGGACCAACTCCCCTTCTGGAAAAAAAAAAAAAAAAAATTCCAGGAAACAGGCAAAAGTTTGAGTGTGGGAAAAGGCAAAATGACCCTACCAGAGGCTCTGGTCTGAAGGTGGAGCCCCTGCCTCCTGCCCTTCCCCATCTCTCCTGCTTGCAGACTCTACCAGCCCTCACCCCCACTCACATCCCCATTCCCCTCTGGCCACCTTGTGACCTTTCTCCCCGCAGCCTCCTGCACCTCGGCCTTTCCCCCGCCTGCCGACCCTCCGCACGACCCCTACCCACAGTGCGGTGGGAGATCCCTGGGCACCCTCTGTTGGGGCAGCCTCCCTTTCACCCAGCAGGGATGGAGAGGGTGGGGCCCCGGAGGTGGAGACTCAGGCTAGGCAGGGTCTTTAGTTTGGCAGGGGACTAAATCCAGTTCCCGAGTCATGCCACAGTGGGGGCCCACAGGGCCTCTGGCTCCCCAGCTGGACTGGAAGTCATGCAGGCCTCCAAGGGCGGCAGCAGCCGTTCCGGAGTGACCGTGAGAAGGCGCAGGCGGAAAAGCAAGGTGGAGGGGCTGTGCCTCAGGGTGGGAGCGCCTGGGGCAAAAGGGCTTGCCGGGTGCTGCTTGCGAAGAGCGAGGTGCTGTGAGGAGGAAAACTCCGACTCCATGAAAGCTAACCCGGCACCAACGACTGCCAGGGGCAGCGAGGCCGCCGCGTCTCTCTGGCCCCGCCCTCGCCATGGGACCGCGCGGGCCTTCCCTAGCGCGGGACCTTGGGCGGGCCACGGGCGCCGGAAGCGCGGGAGCAGCCTGGGCTCGCTCCCCGGCGCGGGTATGGGGCTTGGGAGTGGGCTCCGATCCTGGGGAGGCCTCGGTGGCCCCGAGTTCATGAGGGCGCAGCGGAGGCGAGGCCGCGATCGCACTTCGCCCCGCCCAGACTCAGGAGCCCCCAGAGCTCCCAAGAGCTGCGGGCGCAGGAGGCCGGACGCGCCGCCGCCGAGCGTGACCAAGTTTGGAAGCGCGCGCGGCGCCGGGGACGCTGGCGCGGGGGCGCCTGCCGAGGAGGGGCGCTCGTCCTCCGCTGCTCCCCGTGGCAAGGCCTGCGGTCCCAGGACCGCCCCCCGGGCCGCCAGCGCGAGCTCCAGAGGGGTCTGAGCCCGAGGGGCAGAGAGGGGGCTTTGGCCCTGACCCCTCCCGCGCCAGAAACGGGCGCAAAGTAGGGGAAGCCCCAGCCCCACGTCTGTGTGTGTTGCTTTGTTATTTTTTTCCTCCTGTGTGTGGGTTTTTTCTTGGATCTGTTTCATAGGAATTCCTGTAATAAAGACTTGGTGTTCTCTTGGTGCTCTGATGTGGCGGGCGGCGTGGACTGAACCCTCCCTCCTGCTCCCTCCTCCCAACCTGGGGCAGGGTTTGGTCCCTGGAGCCCCGGGTCGCATCCACGGGCCACCTGCCTCGCCCGCCCCAATTAACCCGCAGCCAACCTAGGGCCAAAGGGCTCAGCCGTGTCTCCGCTACCCTCACAAAGTGACACCTGCTGTCCGCACTGCAACCTTGCTGACCTGCCGGCTTTGTCCAGCGCCGTCACCTTCCTGTTTGCCCCAGGGAAGTAAACCGCTTGTCTCCAGGCAAAGGAAACACCATGGGGAAAGCCAGTCTGTTGGGAAAGCTCCAGACGGTCACCTCCCTAAATAAATAGCTTCTAGATTCAAGGCCGGACTGTAGGGAAGTGCTATCTCAGACTTCAAAGGACGGCAGAGATCTTCCAGTTCGTATACCTCTAGCTTGCCCTTCTCCCCAGCTCAGTGAGGCTACCTCCCACTACAAGGACAGAGAACTCGCTGCCCAGAGTAAGCTGGTGCCGTTTCCAGACAGGGCCGTTCTCAAGGTTAAAAAGTTCTTCCTTGTGTTGAGCCAAAGGCCTCCTTGCAGCCTCCAACCACACTTCTGGTTCCTGGGCTCTGGGTCACGGGGCCGAGGCTGCTCCTCTTGCCCCCATGCCATGTTTGAGCTCAGTGGCCCCTCTCTTCCTGACAATTCCTGTTCCCCCTGCCCTTCCTTCAGGTTCCTCTACCATCAGGGTCTGGCACCACCACCAGTTGGACCCAGGTGGACTTGTAAAGTGGCATACCTGGACAGCTGGTTCCACCTGTGCTTTATTAAGCAAACCAAGATGACCCTCCAGTGCTGGTTCTCTGCATGGTGTTTACTGATAGTGCAGACCAGTGTAATTCCTGGAGCACAGCCTCAGCACTGCATGGCAGCTTGTTAGAAATGCCAATTCCCAGGCCCACCCCAGACCTACTGAGTCAGAAAGTCTGGTAATCCGTGGTTCTGATGTACACTATAGTTTGGGAGCCACGGTGCTAGGCCAGTACCTAGAATTGGCTGCACAGAATCACCTGAGTAGCTTTTTTAAAAATCCTGATGCTCAGTACCGCAGGCCAATCACATCAACAATTATGTTTTTGTTTTTCCAAGCTCCCCAGGTAATTCAAATTTGCAGTCAATTTTGAGGACCAGCACACCAGGCAGTCTGTTAGGTGTTTCATATTAACCCAATTGATTTTGCCCAATAATGGCCACTTACAGGTGATGAAATGACTGTTCAGAGAGGTTCATTAATGTATTCAAGATCACAGAGCTAGGGCATCATGAAGCCAGTAAAGGGGGCCCAGAGCTGCCTGACTCCAAAACCTATATTGCCTCCTTTACACCCCTGCTGCTCAAAAAGTGCTCCAAGTACCAGCAGCATCAGCAGATTCTCCGTCACCTGGATGCTTGTTAAAAATGCAAATTATCAGGCCTCATTCCAGCTCTACTGAATCTGAAACTGAGGTGCATTTTAACAAGCCCTCCAGACGATTCTCATACATATTCAAGTTTGAGCACCACAGTTCTACAACCTTCCTACTCAAAGTTTGGTCTGTGGAGTAGCAGGATCGGTTATCATCTGGGAGCTTGTTAGAAACACAGAATCTCAGGCTCTGCCCCAGACCTATTGAATCAGAATGTGTATTTTAACAAACTCTTCAGGTGCCTTGCATGCACGTTAAAGCTTGAGAAACGCTGCTGTCGAACACTGGTTCTCAAACTTGCTGTACATTAGAGTCATTTCTGATGTGTGGCTCCCATTCCCAGAGATTCTGACTTAATCGGTTTGGGATTTAGCCTGGGAATCAGAGTGTGAAATCTCAGGTGATTCTAATATGCAGCAAAGCTTGAGAACCATACACCATTTTGCTTAATGGTATAGGCGAGACTGAAGGTGATTGTAATGAAAGAGAGAAAAAGAGGGAGAACGCTTATCAGGTCCGACAAGGAATGCAGAAGACGAAGCCTCTATTTGATGATGAGCCCCTGACTCCCAGCTGAAGGTGAGTATAGGACCCAGGAGCAGGGACAGGCTGGACCAGGTGACTGCCCCAGCCATCTACCCTCATGCACCATGCTTATCTACAAATGCTGGGCTCCTGGTATCCACAGATGATACTCACAGATTTATATCTTCTGCAAAAATGCTGAGCCAGGATAACTGGGGTCTAGTCCAGCTGGTCCTCCCTCCCCTTCTTATCCTTTTGAGTCCCCACGGCTCAGCCCCAACTCAAAAGGAGGTCAGGGGTCTGGGAAATGCCATGCCCAGGAGGAACTGGCCTGGTTATTACCATGCTGGGGTCTCAACCCTCCCTCTGTTCTCTCGAAGCACCTGGTTGGGGGTAGGGGATGGGGGTTGGAGGGAAAAACAGGAGAATTTGGTGTGAAGAACAAAAGAGGCAGGCACAGTGTGGGACGATGAAAGTGGTAACTCTTCATTGAGTGCTTATTGTGTGCCAGACACTTCTGGGGTGTTTTTCATACATTATTTTACCTAATCCCCACAACAATTATATGCAATCAGTATTATTACTCCCATTTCACACACAGATCAGGAAACTGAGGCACGGAGATGCTAAAGTCCTTACTCTACACCTACCCTCAGTAAAAGTACCTGGATTTGAACCCAGGTAGCTGAGCTCCAGAGCTGGTACCTAAACGCTAGGCTGTATGTTGGAGGTAGGGGTGGGGGTGGGGTGAGGGTACAAGTAATAAGATCCAGGACTCCTGCAGAGATGCAATTTGTGGCACACAGAAAGGACCCATTTGCTCAAAAACATCTCCACAGTGATCCGTGATTCAGCAGAGTACTGGAACTCCCCCATTAGCATTCTTTATCTGGTTTTAAAAACAATCTCTTAGCATTTCCATTAAATGGCAAATATGCTATTGAGAGAGAAGCACATGAACTCCTTATGACCATTATCACAGCATAGATTAATTTGTTGGATTAGCGGGCTGTGCCAGCTGGAGGAAGAGTTGGAAATTTCTGGAGCTAGGTGGGAGGGCCTGAAGGGGGCTGTGTAAATCTACTGCCACCTGGTGGTCATCTTGCAGAAGTGGCAGTCGCTGGCCCCGGAGAGACCCAGCACCCAGAAGGAAGATGTCAGCACCTGTTGGGCCTGAGGCCAAACAGAAGGGGATTTACTCTGTTCACGTGATCATGTGTTTTGTAGAATTTGTAAAACAAAGACAGTTTTACTTTTTTCTTAAAAAGAGTCACTAAGATTATGTAAGTTTCAGGCCCCACAAAACCAGTATCTATCTTGTCTGGAGAGCTGAGTTCTGGAGTTGGGTGTTCTTTCTAGAGAGTGAAGAGTCACAATTCTTTATCAGGCCAAGAGACTCTGGGGTGAGGAGGTGTGAAGCTCAGTCCAATTTAGCAGAAGCCTCCTTGCTATGACCTTGCTATTCCAAGTGTGGTCTGTGGATACAGTGACCAACTGTCCTGGTGTCCCCAGATGCAGAACATTCAGTGCTAAAACTGGGAAAGTCCTGAGCAAACTTGGGCCATGTGGTTACCCCATCTGCAGACTAGCAGCACTGGCATCAACCTGGAAGCCTGTTGGAAGTGCACACCCAGGCTCAGTCCAGGGTCCCCAGGAGGTTCACGTGCACACCAAACACCAAGGTGCTCTGACTTCCCACACCAACCCTAA